TAGGAAAATGTGCTGTGTCTGAGGGGCCATGGGAAACAGAGGTAAAAACACATGAAAAACAGACAAAGAACCAAACCAGAGCTCAGAAGAGACACTGGGAGACTGGAGCACAAGGCAGAGGGAACAGAAATCACCAGTAGTGTGTGCCCTGGGAAGGCGCTCTTGAAAACATCAGATCCAGATCATCACAGCCTGGGAGTAAGCATGGAGATGAGAATCATGAAGATGAGATGCATCCCTGAAAATTGCATGAGATGCCATAGCAGGAAAAGTTCATGGTGTCACTGGGATGATCTGGGAGAAGAGAGGCTGAGGGACTATAAGGTTTCCTCTCTTACAATCAAACTAAGACTGCTTTCATCCATAGATTAAGTCAGTCAAAAATAATTTGTGACTCTACTTTGGTTTAAGGTTTAAGCCTTAAACCAAAAATAAACTACTCAAAAACAAGAATAGTTAAATGAAAACCCATTAGAATATTATCAATATACAACTAGTAAACTCTAGAAACACCAAAAAAAAAAAAGAAAGAACAAATTTAGAAATCTGTTTATATTGTGGATCCTCAACTTTTTATATTGTGGATCCTAGCTCAAGACTGGAATCCCAGCATTTGGAAGGCTGAGATAGGACCAAAAGTTAGTTGGTAGTTAGCCTGGACTAAATGAAATAACAGAAGTCAGTTACCATCACAGTAGCTGACAAAGAGATATAATCAATGAACTGTTAAAAACAAAAGTAGCCTGAAGACACTTCTTAAGCTGAAAAGGGTATACAATTATAAGAAAACTTAAGAGGGCCATGGTGGCACATGGCTTTAATCCCAGCACCCAGCTCTCAGTAGGCAGAGGCAGGCCAATTTCTGAGCTCAAGGCCAGCCTGGTCTACGGAACGAGTTCCAGGACAGCCAGAGCTACACAAAGAAAACTGTCTTGAAAAAAACAAGAGGAAAAAGAAAAAGAAAAAACATAATCAGAGGAATAAATATCACAGTCTTTTCATTCATTCCACTATATTTGACTGGGCGGGAAACCACAGAAAAAACTTATGACCCACAGGTCTAGTCAATAAGCTGAGAAGATGCAGAAAATGATTTGCAAAAGACTAACAAAGGAAATGGAAAAGGTTTCAGAAAGAAGCAACAATGATAAATTTACAGAATGGGCTTAAGTTTAGAATGTACAAATTATGAATGGTAACACCCAGAAAGATGACAGTAACCACTCATTATTGTGGTAGAATTTGGGATTTGGAAGACCTTTCTAGAAAGGATCACAAGCCAACAAAAGAATGCATTTACTGACTTCATCAAAGCAATTAATTGAAGGGAAAAGGAAAAGAGAGTTGATGAATTGTACAAGCAACACTGAGCAGAGCAATGTCCTTATACAACGCAGCTGCAATTAAACTTCACATTGATTTCCTGGGATTCATTACATGGAATCATTTTGCAACACCAGGATCCCATTAAAAGTGAATGTAATATATTCTTTCATTAATAACTCTTGAAATTATATTTTATTTGGTAATCTAATATTCTGTCCCTTCACAAATAAACATAAAATCAATGCTGCCAACCAAGCATGGACCATTCAGTCCAGGAGCCACACTGCAAGCTGGTGCCTGAGAAAGCCCAAGGAAGAGTAATATCCCAACTCCTCGGAGCTTAAGCTAGCCTTGCTCCAGAGTGGGTGGTCAGCCAGAGAGCTCCATGAGGTCCCTTTAAGAGTGAGCAGCAGCTCCAGTCAGCTGCCACCACTGAGGCCCAACTACGGTCCCATGAGTCAGTCTGTTGTGAACCACCCACTGGAGTAGCCTACATGTGGCCTGGGCATCCTGTTTCCAGGCCCATCACTCACAGGTTCACTTGTCTACTTGCCTCCTCCAGGGGGAAGGAACAATTTCTGTTCTCTATAATTAAAATGTTTTATTTTGTAAGAATCACAAGTACACCCTGACTGGCCTGAGGAAACAAACACCCTGCCTCAACTTGCTTATGTGAGGCCACCTGCTGAAGACGTCCAGGAAATAGTGACACAGCAGCCGGAAGGGACACTGGGCCCACGGTCCACAGGTTGGAGGACAAGAAGTCTACTAAGCACTGCTGAACTTGGACCCTGAACTCCAAATGAAGATGATGATCCTGACCAACAGACACCCTGACTGCAGCCCAGAGAGCCTGGCGGAGAACCTACCACACCAGATATGAATATCTCCCTTAGGAAAATGGCAAATAATAACTCTGTCTCAAGCTGCTAAGTCTGTGGCAAGGTTGGTGCCTAGCAAGACTAGAGCAGCAGTGCAGGGAGCAGAGGGAAATGTACTCAGGGACCACTCCCAGGCCACTGCAGCATGCAAGGTGGGAGACTCAAAAGTCTTTGCCAGGAGGCAGCCATGTAAACAGATCTCAGGACTTCATTACTAAAAGAATATGAACAGTTAGATACAGGAAAGAAACAAAACTTCTAAGCTCAAAGAACAACAAAGTGTTAAGAAGGAAAATTATAAAATGTTAAAAAGGAGTCAATCAGTCTAACTTCTCTCTTGGGACAATGCTAACCCCAAATCTGGTGACAAAAAGCTACGACTCCCTGACTGACTCCTTGGGGCTATCCTACAGTGCCCTCACATATCCAGTCCAAAGCAACATCCCCGACACGCCTACCTACCAATGCAGTTTCCGTCTCTGCAACAATACTTTCTTGGTACAAAGCTTCAATTATGCACAAGCTACCATGCTCCAGTCTCTCCTCTCAGCAAAGTATCCGTGGTAACCAATCACGCTTGGATTCCAGACTCCTGTAACTGTTGATGCTAAGGACACTTAGTGGAGGCACAAAGGGTTTTCACTTCACCAAAGCACTCAGCACAGTGATGGTGAATATCAAGGGCTTAATTAAGTGGTGCTTTGTAGCTACTAACATGAGCTCCCTAGCATTCCAGAGTGGCACCTCCTCAGGCCACTCAGCTTAGACGTCACATACCAAAGCATCATGTAAAGGGACAGAAGGAAGCACAGCAGCCAAACCCTGCTCAGGATGTGGGGGTAAAGGAATAGGGTAAACAATTTACAATGCCAAAGTCAAAGTGTCTTCACGTGTACTCAAGCATCAAAACCACTGTGTTTCAATAGCGGCATGTGGCCACCCCAGAGACAAGAAGGTAAGAAATAAGACTTTCACTTACATTTGATTCTCATTCTCTCTCTGTCTCTTTCTGTGCCTCTGTCTGTCTCTCTCTCTCTCCTGGGAACAGAACCCAGGACCTTACATGCTAACTAAGCACAACTCCAATTCTTTCTTTTACAACTAGCATTTTGCACATCTTAAAGTGAATCTATCAGTGTAAGAGTACATGAATTTCGTTAAGAAACAACTGTGTCTTCTGTAATGTTTGTATCTAATAAATTCTGCATATATTCCCGTACAGTGACACTTTCCACACAAGGAAAGTAATTAACAAAGTTGGAGAAAACTGATCTAGACAAGCAGCAAAGGAAGCACCAGGAAAACCAAGTGCAAGCAGTTGGTTTTATAAACAGG